TAATTTATATATATATTACATGACTAATATTGGGATGGCGTTTGTAAAAAAGTAAACATACACTGATAATGCAAGTAGTACAGGGAAGAGTTGAGCAACATAAAGAGGATCTAGGGCATTGAAGTAGGCATTTTAAATGAGGTCCTGAAGCTAGTGAAAAAGAATACTCTATAAGAAGAAATGCAAGTGCAAAGTCCTGGAAGCAGGAGAACATTTTGTTTCTTCAAGGAGCACCAATGATGCCAATGTGGAAGGAGCATCGTTAGATGATAGGTTGAACCACTTGAAATTGCTGATATTTTACCTATTCTGACCTATAAACACATATATTTTATATACTTCAATGTTATGAGTGAGAATAGTAGATTATATTAGAAAGATAACAGAGAAAGGGCAGAAGAGTTGGACCATGTACAGTCTTGTAAGAAACTCTAAGTACTTTGACTTTTCCTCTAAATAAAATGGGGAGCCATTGTAGGTTTTGACTGATGTATGAGATTGGACCGTGAAGAACCATGAGTGCAAGCAATCAGTCTAGTAAAGAGACTTTTGCAATGAACTGGTTATAGAAGAGGATGGCTCGAATTAGGGTGGTAGTAGTGAAAATGATTTAAATGGTTAGATTTTGGACAAATTTGAAAGTAGGAACAACATGATCATGACAAATTAGATGAGAGCTCTGAGAAAGAAGGACATTAAATTTTATACCTTGAGCAAATGGAAAGATGGAGTTTCCATTTACTGTGATGGGAAAGTAGGTATGCAGGTGAAGCAGGTTTTAGGGGAAATATAAGAATCTCAGTTTGGATATATTGACTTTGTTAGACAGCACTATGAAGATATCAAATAGGTAACTGGATTTGCACAATTGGAGTACAGTGAAAGGTCAGTCGAAAAATACAAATTTGAGACTTTTCAACTTATAGATGACATTTAAAGCCATAAGCCTAGATAAGATAACCAAAAAAGATAGTGTAAACAAGGTGTCTATGTACTGAGCCCTGGGACACAACAACATTAAGAGATGAGAGTAATAATGAAGAATGAATTTTAAAAGACTAAGAAGTAGCCAGTAAGTTACCAGAAAAATCCGGAGAGTGTGGGATCATGAGAGTCAAACAAAGAAGTGTTTCAAGGAAAATGGATGATCAAAGGCTGCTGATTGATAAAGAACAGTAAATTAAAATTAGAGGTTGTTGCCGACCTTGACAAGAGCTGTTTTTGTGGCCTGTTGGGGGAGCCAGTTTAGAATAGGAGTAGAGTTTAGAAACAACAGGAGAAAAAAATTGAAGACAATTGGTGGGCGACTCTTCCGAGGAGTTTTGTTGCAAAGGGGAGTAGAAAAATGAGGCGGTAGCTGGAAAGGTAACTAGAATCAGAATTGGGTATTTTTGAGATGGAAAAAGTAACATGTTCTTATGCTGATATAACCCAAAAACATAATGCTTGATGCAAAAAATAAGCAGGTTGTAGAAAATAGAAACAACATGACACAATTGATGCTTTAAAAAAATTCACCAATAATACCATATCTCATCTAATTTAAGACAAAGATTTTCACATATTTTTAGATAAAAAATGTAGCATCCTAGTATTTCTATTTGCTTTCTTTATTTTTCCCATTTCTTTTATTTTTTCACATTTTAATATCTCTAAACATGATATATATTTTGCAATTAATGGATTATTATAGTTTAATTGGCAGTCATTTTCTTTATGAGTACACAAAATAAAAGTGAGTCTCAAAATTAATAGTATATTACACTCAATAATATTCAAAATATATTTTCTATAGGTACATAAGTAGAGAAGGCAAAAATTTATGTCAGGAATAACAATCAGAGGAGAACAACTGTAATTGTGAATTTTGTAAGTTTTTATTTGCAATATTCTACTAATTTAAAAGGAGAATGGATGCAATATTTCACATGTAAATAAAATTTTTACATAGAATATGCAAAACTGGCTAAATTTAGAGTCAACAATATATAATTGAATAAAAAGAAACAATTCAAAAGAAATATATGATGAGAAACTCACACTATAGGAATGCTGAATGGCCAAAAACCAGGACATAAGTTGAAAATCACTAATAAACAGAAAAATGTAAACTAAAACAATGAGCTGCATTCCTCATTCACTAGTTTGGCACACACTAAAACTATGAAATATCACAAGTTGACTAGGGTTTGAAAATGGAATACCTACAGTGCTGAGTATACCATAATTTGGTACAGCCATTTAATGTAGCAATTTGGCACCATTTAGGAACTTTGAAGTGCTTATATTTACAACTCAATATTTCTTCTTTTAGTGTATACACTGCACAAACTGTGGAACAAGTATAGGAAGATGTTCACTGCAGCACTGTTTTTAATAAAGACATTTCAAGTGAACCAAAATGATCATCAGGAGCACAATGGATGTTTGAATATATTGCTCAGTGGATGCCAAAAAATGCCATATATATATACTCTTCAATAGAGTTTGAAGGTAACAAAATGTTATTTTTTTTTAAATTGAGTAACAAAAGCAAGATTCAGAAAAATAACATACATGTAATAAAACATATGTTTAAAATAAAGCTCAGCCAAGTTAGATTATGAGACATATCAGAGTTCTATTTCAGTCTTGCTGACAATATAACCATTAGGAAGAAACAAAACATTCTCTTGAATATCCATGAGTGGATTTATATAATAAAAAGAAGAAATGCGGAAAAGGTTGTTTAACTAAATACACGATTGGTTAGGTTTACAATGTGTAGAGATGTCATATTCTTATTCTTACAGCTTCACAGTATACACACCTGAGTCAAAATGACCCAGTGTGATATCCCAGAAATGTCAGGTAAGGGCCATTGAAAAAGAATTATTCTTTTATTCTCACTGTATGGAGTAATTATCCTTCATAATGTATATTTAAAAATAAATATGAGACAGAAAATGCATAGCATGTATGTATATATAATCGTTAGGTTACATAAAAATTAAATGAGGAATGTTAACATTAAAGAGGGAGAAAAGAGTAGGATCAGGGCTTGAGGATAAAAAAGAATTACATTTTATTGGTACTATTTTACTTCTACTTTTAAATGCTTCAATAAACATAAGTAATATTAATTTTGAACAGGGAATAGTACTTCTAATATTATTATAAACACCGTAGTTTGAAAATACCATAAAAATAATTTTACAGATAATTTTTAACAATTGATTGCAAAATGATCTCAGATTTCTAAAAGGTTAGGGGGAAAAAGCAAAGGAAATAATGAGTGCTAAAATTTTACTGCGAACCCTGGGGAATGAAAAGTGCATTTAGGGTAGATAATTTTCTTCAAGTGAATTTTCTGAATTTTACACAGTGTGCATGCAATTCTTTTGTACCTGGTGAAAAAAGAAAGAGGGAAAAGAAAATAATTATCCTGGAGAAGTAAACTATGGGAATGTCCAGATAGTAAAAATTACCTAGAGATAGGGTCAAGATGGCAGACTGAGCACTAGTGAATTTCTCTCATCCTACCACAAATCCTTTTAAATAACAGGAAATGCAAGTTTCTGTATGTAAAGAATAACTACAGAAAGGCACAGAGGTGCGGGGGTAGGCGAATTCCTGGAAGATGGAAAGCAGATGGGGCAGGGGCACTGAGGTAGGGGTGGGGAGCCAGGGGATGGGGTGGGGGTGGGGAATCTGGGGGCCCGGAACTGGAGAAGGGGACGCTAGGTAGTTAGAGAGGAGGGTTGTGAGCTAGGCTGCTCCAGATTTTGGAAAGGGGCGGAACTAAGAGCCAAAGAGCACCTCCAGGGATTAGGGACGAGGTGGGCGTGAGAGCTGGGGGAAGGGGGCGCACGGTGTTTGGCAGGAAGGGGAGGCCTCTCTCCTGGCAGGAAGCTGCGCTACGGAAAGAGGGAGGAGACTGCTGCGGCAGTACGGGCTGGTGGGATCTCTATGTGGCAGAGGGGCCTCTGCCGCTGACAGGGAGGTAGAGATCCCACAAACACACTGCTGGAGACACAGCCGCCATCCTCTTCCTTGCCCGGCTGCCTTCCTAGACGCGCTCCTTGCCTACGGATCCTCTCCTCTCAGCTCTTGCAAGCTCCCGGATCGGCGCAGACTGACCCTCTTTCACCACACACTCACAGCGAAGGCAGCAGCGAGGTGTCCGGTTTGGGCACGTAAAGCCCGCGATCCCCGGACGCGGGGAGGTGGGCACTGGACTAGAGAACCGGAGGATGGGGGTTGGTGGGTGCCAGGCAGGAAAATTGGGGTCGGTGCTGGGACGGATGATGAGGGTGACTGCGGAGTGACTTGGAGACTAGGGTTGGGAGGGGAGAGCTGAAAAGCACCTGGATGGTGTACAAAGGTCGCTAGAAAGAGAAATAGGTTTGTTGTTGGCACCCAGTGGGAAAATGGGGATGAATAGGAAGGGCATGAAGTAGAAGTGAACACCAGGCAGAAGGCATCATATTGGGAAGCAAGAGGGATGAAGAGCAGACTGCGATGGGCAAGGGACATGTGGACTACATTAGTGGAAATGGAGGGATGGGGTGGGGTCTAAGAAATGGTGAATATTTGTATTTGGTGTGGGGACTCTAGGATAGCAACAGAGGATCAGGCATTATGCAAAGGAGCCTGATCCCTCCTGCTGGGGCTTCCACCACCACAACCATCACCTTTCTAACCCTCCAGCACAGCCAAAGGAGCCTGGAATACCTGATGCCCAGGGACTTTGCGAACAGAGGAAAGAAAATGTCATGCTATAATACACTAAATGTTTCTCCCTAGCCTCTTTCCTCCCCCTGCAGGTATGAAGACCCCTCACAAAAAGGTAGCTGCAGGGCAGGAAACCAGAGAAGCTCTCAGTCGCCACACCGGATCTGCAAATATGAGGAAGAAAAAAAGCTCTCAAAAGAAGCAGAGGGGCAGACCTACATCCCAGGCCCACAGGAACATCGTGGGCTGCAGAATTTCACACGGATGGAAAGAAGGCGATGAACCCATCACCCAATGGAAAGGAACCGTTCTGGATCAGGTGCCTATAAATCCCTCTCTTTATCTGGTGAAATATGATGGAATTGACTGTGTTTATGGACTGGAACTTCACAGAGATGAAAGGATTTTAAAGCTTAAAATCCTTCCTGATAAGGTGCCATTTTCTCGAGTCAGAGATGTGCGCCTTGCAAATACCATAATTGGTAAAGCTGTGGAACATATTTTTGAGGGTGAGCATGGTTCTAAGGATGAATGGAGGGGGATGGTCTTAGCCCAAGCACCAATCATGAAAGCTTGGTTTTATATTACGTATGAGAAAGATCCTGTCTTGTACATGTACCAACTTCTAGATGATTATAAAGAAGGAGACCTCCGTATCATGCCAGAGTCCAGTGAGTCTCCTCCAGCAGAGAGGGAGCCAGAAGGAGTTATAGATGGCCTCATAGGTAAACATGTGGAATATACCAAAGAAGATGGCTCCAAAAGGACAGGCAAGGTCATTCACCAAGTCAAAGCCAAACCCTCTGTGTATTTCATCAAGTTTGATGATGATTTCCATATCTATGTCTATGATTTGGTGAAAAAGTCCTAACAGGGTACAATTTGCCACATTTGTGAAGGCAAATGTATGATTTGGAGACACACACACAAAAAAATGTTACTTTTCAATGTATAGAAAGCTTTAGAGTCCCTATTATACCCAAAATCATTGCCAGCATAACTATTGCTTTGTTCTAAAAAATACAAATGTATGTGGACATGATATGCTGTGTGTAAGGACTTTATCATGTTGAAATGATTGGGTGTGTTTGGTGGATGGGCATGAAAAGGACAGCTGTAATTTCTGGCTGTGAATAAAAGTCAGCTAGAATCATAACCAGTCATCTGAAAATGGAATAGGACTTAGCTGATCTGGTCTAGGGAGAGGGAAGAGAAGGAACTAAGGATGGGCTGTGGGGGAAAGGAAAGGTGGTGACTGCTTAGGAAGAGGTGGGGAGGGGCCGGAAATGGAGAGGCTCCCTGGGAGGAAGGATTTTCTAAGAGAGGGAGGCACCCAACTAAAAGGAGGTGAAGAAAAACAAGAGGGAGAGCGAGATCTTGGGGCTTAAAGGAAAACAAAGTAAATTGAGTAGAGAAGGGCACGAAAAGTTTAGAAGAAGTCCAGAGCAAGGGAGTGAAAGAGGAAGTTGGCAAGGATCTGGGGAGAGGCTAAAGGATAGTCAAATGGAGGGTCTATGCATGTGTAAGGGGCCAGAAGGGCAGGGAAGGAGGAATTCTAAGAAGAAACCCTGACTTGGGAAGTGAGAATATAGAAAAAGTGATGTGGGAACGGGGCCTATGAGAGATAAGAAGGCCCAGGAAAAGTTGGACTTCTGACAGTACCCACATTGCTGTTCCTGGCTCAGTGCACAAAAGATATGGCAACTGTCAAAGAAGCCAGTTGAAATGGAGGTTCCCTAGAAGGGTATTTTGACAAAGAGGACTCTAGTGTTAAGCAGGAGCCAAGTTTGTACCTGAAACTCTTATTTTGGGATACTAATGCCACACCTGCCAAGCAGACCTCCAACCCTCAGCCTAAATACACTAACTAAGGACAGGGTTCTGGGCAACCTCCTCACATTTTCCAGAGGACTTAAGTGCAGTAAATCTTGGACTTGAAGGTTTTGGTTCATTGTCCCTACACTGGATAAGCAATTCTTATGGGGAATGGGTCAGTGGGGCACTCAGAACTTAAAGAGACATGCCACTTTGCATTTGGAAAGTATTTTATCAAGAAAAATGGAACCTTGCTGAACCTAGGTACAACAGTCCCCTCACCATTCTTCCTCCCGCTGGACTGTACCTTGCCCCTCTACAGAGAAGAGGCATGAGAGGGTTGAGCCTACTGTTTCTCTTCAGGGCATGAAGAGTACTTGAAAATCCATGCTTTCTCTCAGTAGCTGCCAAAAACACAAGTGGCTCTACCCAGTGCTCCACTATATTGAGATCTGCTGCCCCCAAAAGTACCATTCTGGCTATACCCCAACAAAGCTAGTGACTACTGACCCTTCACAGATATCTCCTGGCCAGTCTTGCCCACCTAAGCTCAGAGGGAACTGTGATGGAAGTCTGTGCAGCTCTCTTTCCAGGTGAGATAGATGGCATGAGCAGTCAGGCTGGGAGTTGTAGCTTTGTATAACTAACTCCTTTGACAGTATAGTGACACATAGAGGGGCGGTGGTTGGTTGGGAGCAGGTTCAGTAACCTCAATAAAGTCCCTCATAGATATGATGTCCTGACACATGGGTCTTTGTCCTTCTCTTCCTTTCCTCCCTGCCTTTCCCCAATCCTACCATGGAAGTTTCTCTCAAAACCCTCTCTCTGGTTTCCCCACCTCAAACTTCACTGAAATATACCCTTGCCCTTAAAGTGAGAGTTCTGGTGACTCCCCGCTGCCCAGGTTTTTCTAACTCCATATATGGGAGAGGGAGGCAGGGATCTTCCAGGAGTTGAAAGAAGGTAGTAATTCCTGTTCCTTCTCCACCCAATATGACTCGAAGCTGTTTGCCTCAAGAATGGCACAAGGCAAACCCACCTTACCATAGGCGATTTGTTTTCTTTCACATTTTGTAAAATTTAGTCTGGCAAACACCTGCAGGCCACCCATGGGCCACTTTCAGCCAGCTGTCTTGTTTTGTTTGGTCTTTGTGTTTTTATGCTTTCTGTGTTTAAATTAGCTATACATTTGGGAAATTTTACATTATAAAAATTCTTATTTCTGGCTTACCTGGAAAAAAAAAAAACAAACAAACATTAAATTAAGGATTAGGGCCCACATTCCAACAAGGATACAAGCCAGCTGGGTCTGAGAAAGGGCTCAGCCCATTTTAGATTCAGAATACTCTCAAGTTGGCCATGCCCCCAGCTGACCTGCTTCAGTTTAATGAAATGCCCAGTTGTCCCTGGAGGCACTTGCATTTGTAGCTTTGGTGCTAGACCCAGGGGAAACTGCCTACTCACCCTTTTGGCTTACTTTGACCCCATTTATTTAATTTATTTGCTTTGTCTTTATCCCACCAATACTTACTTCACATAGGCTCTCTGCCAGGTAATCTTCTGGGCACAAGTACTTATGATATGGTAATGAACAAAAGAAACAAAATAACCTTAGTTGCATGGAATTTTTATTTTAATGTGCCAGACAGTAGCCAACATACAATAAGTAAGTATAAAGTATTTTCAAAGTGATAAGTGTTAAGAAGGAAAAAAAAAACAGAAATAAAGCAAATAATGAGGAATTGAAATTCCAGCAGGAGGCTGAAATTGGATAGATAGAAAGGCCAGGAAGAGCCTCACTGAGAACATGACTTATGAGTAAAACCTAAAGGCAGTGAGAGAACTGGCCCTGTGCCTGTCTGGGGAAGGAACATTCTAGGTAGAGGGACAACAAGTGCTGAGGCCCCAAGGTACTAGTGGCCTGGTGTGTTCTAGAAACACTGAGGATACTAGCATGGCTGGAGCTGAGTGAGCAAGGTAGAGAATATCAGGAAATGAGTTCAGAGAGGTGATGGGGATTCAATAGAAGCAGATAGTTTAGAGTTTTAGAGGTCCTAGAATGGAATTTGGCTTTTACACTGACGTTGATGGGGACCCATTTGATTATTTTCAGCAGAGGCATGACATGGTTTGTCTCATATTTTAACAGAATCACTGGCAGTCCTGGACAGTAATATGTGTCGAGTGCAAGGATGAAAAAGGGAGGTCAAATAATATCAGTGAAACAAAGGAGGGACCTAGAAACATATTCTAGGAGGGACCTAGAAACATAGGAGGGACCTAGAAACATGGAATCATAATAGAAGTGACATTTCAGATGAATGAGAAAAGACACTTTGGTGCTAAATTAATTTTTTTTCCATATGGCAAAAATACACTTAAGCCCCTTTACACCTTGCAGTAAAATAAATTACAAGTGGAAAAATAGTTAATACCTAAATTTGGAAAGTAACACTTATAAAATTTTTAGAATCAAATGGATTTTTTTCCCCCTGCAGAAGTAGTGAAGATTTTGTTTAAAGGCAAAAAACGCACAGGTATTGAGGGAAAAGTTTCATAAGTTTGATTATATTAAAATATGCAAGACCCTGGTTTCAAAGTCATCATATTCAAAGTAGAATAAAATGAGATTAGACTATGAATTTCAATAGTTAAAAGGATGAAATAAGAATATATTCAATGAGAAAACAGCAAACAGTTCATAGAAAACTTGGGAAAAAATATGAACAGGCAATTCATAGTAGATCACATGGTCAATAAACATATTACCTTACTCTACTTCCCATTTTCTTATTGTATCTTTTCCATAACATATGTCATCTTCTAACATACCATATAATATATTTAGTTAATATGTTTATTGTTTCTCTACAAGAATGTAATCCCTGGATGTGCATGACTTTTCTTCCTTTACATGCACCAAAGTATCCCAAGTCCTTAGAAGAATGGCTTATTAAATATTTGTTAACTATGTAAATCTCATCAGGCTGTAAGAAAATGGAAATTAAAATAAAGAATTTCACACACATCAGATCAGCAACACGTGAATTTGAACATATTTATCGACCAATTAAAGAAGTGGGAGATCATATACACTGTAGGTGATAGTTTAAGTCAGAGAGAAATTTGCCATTATCTTATGAGTTTAAAGATGGTGAATTGCCAGCAATTTCACTCATATACTATTGGAAGGCAATTCTGCATGCATATCACATGTTTCTGTACATCTTGAAAGGAAGAAACTATCCTTTCAAAAGCTATCTTTTGAAAGGTGTTTGAATGGCAAGCGGCTTTGACACAGATAGAGACAGTATCTCTTTCTGAAGTAAAGAGCAGGTTTGCTTGGAGCCTTTGGAAAATGAGAGTGATTCACTCTGGAGCAAAGGGCAGAAATGCTTCTTCCCATATAATAAAGATAATGTCACCTTCAAGAGCAATGGGAAGGGGTTCTCGCTGTCCATTATGAAAGTTTGAATTACCCAAACTGAGATTTCCTCTCAGTAATGCAGGATACTTTATATATAGGTGTCATGTGACCATTTTGCATCACCCTGTGGGAAGTGGGACTTGGGCTTCTAGGATATAAATGCTGATATTTGGGCTGTTGTTATTACCATGAATAATAAACTATCCTTTGTCTCTGACCCAGAAGTCTCATGTCTTCTACCAGCACCTACAAAACTGTAACAATCTACCTCATTAACTCACAAATAGGGTAAAACTTCAGATTTTCACAGTTCTTAATACTTGTAGCAATGAGGATAAGATGCTGACAGAGACGTGGCTTTCTGTAAGAGGAAGAATGAGTACCTCACCAGCCAATTAATGGAATTTGAGGGTAATTTATGAGAATTGGTGGTGAATGTACAGACCAACTATGCAATAAATAGTCTCCAATATATGTTTCTTGTACTCCAAAGTTACCTAAAATCCACTGTCATTCGCCACACTTTGATGGGCTAAAATTTAGTGCAAGTGCTTCTACACTCTGATTTTCCAAATGTTCACTATATACATGATGTCCTAATGGTTGTCAATCAGAAGCCTCAGTCTCAACAACCCATGCTGTGATATCACACACCTGCTAGGAAGAGTGGCCAAAAATCTCCCCAAAATTCAGGAAACTGCTTGCCAAGTAATATTTCTCAGTGCTATATAGGCAAATTTACAATACTCAGTCCTTCAGGAAGTTAAAAAAAAATTGTCTCTTCAGCCCCCCCGCCACAA